GCCTCGTGCAACATCATTTGCTGAAGTATCATCCGCTGCATGATTTGTTTCTTGTGAGTTTTCATGATCTTGTTGGTTTCCTGGTGGGTTTTCTTGTTGGTTTCCTTGCGGGTTTTCTTCATTGCTAGCCATTAGACCTGTAACAAAAGTCAAACAAGCACATTAGTACACTACATGAAAATGGATAGTCGAAAAAGATATGAATAGCACTAAAGGAACTCAAAATTGAATAACATGCTAAAAAACCAAACTTGCAAGAAATAAACCTCACCATCAGCTCCGGAAACATTGTTCTACTAAATAAACACTAGTCACATTCGCAAAAATTCAAAACGGTTCAAAAGATATGCCAAAAATTCAAAACATTATTCACATATTACTTACAATATTAGGCTATAATTATAATAATACCTTTTTCACTAACGTCTCTTTCTTTTCTTGGTAGCAATATATTTTACGCTTCTGTTAACAACTCGGATGGTTGGATTGATCCAAATACCCTCATTATGATCATCTCTAGTACAAGGTTCATTCTCATTTTGATCGTTTCTTGTACAAGATTCAATGCCAACGCCAATATCACCTTGATCTCCAATGTTTTCATCAATTACTTTGTTAGACAAAAGCACTATAGACCATTTCGTACTTGTCGGATCATTGACATAGAACACTTGTTTAGCCTGAGAGGCTAGAATAAAAGGTTCATCTTTGTACCCCACCCTATTGAGATCCACTTGCAAAAATCCTGACTTATCCATTCGTACGCCATTATTATTTTCAACCCACTTGCAATCAAATACAGGAATCTGAAACTTCCCGTAATCAAACAACAAAATGCGCTCGATAACCCCAAAATATGACAGATTTGCAAATTTCGGGTTTAAGTCATTCGCACTTGATATGTGCATCGCTTCAGCTACCAAGGTAACACCACTATTCTGCATAGTACTTTTATCATCCTGTTCTTTGGTATAAAATGTGTATCCATTAATTGCGTATGCGCTATAAGAAAACACAATCATACTTGGACCATATGCTAAACATCTCAACCTTTCTGTTACTGAAGCAGGATCCGAACGATACTTTGAATAAATTTGTTCCTTAAACCACGGTATGAAACTTCGATTGTGCTCTCGTACTATCCAATTCTCATTTCTATTCAGATTTAAACCTCGAAGAACACCCTTGTGCATTTCAGCATACGGCTCAACCTCAATCTCATTGTGCAGAACATACAAATGCACCTGATCCTGTTCGACCATTGACACTGTCACAACTTTATTTCCAATTAGTCTTTTTCCTTCTTTTTTCTCGACAATATGAGATTTGGGGAGTCCAATTGATTGAACATTTGACAGATATTCAGTGCAAAACTCAACCGCTTCTTCAACAATGTATCGTTCCGCAATACAACCCTCCGGTCGACTTCGGTTTTTCACGTACCCTTTTAAAATTTTCATATAACGTTCAGCAGGGTACATCCATCTCATATAAGCTGGTCCGCACAACTGTGTCTCTTTGACAAGATGAACAACTAGATGAACCATTATGTCAAAAAACGAGGGAGGAAAATACATTTCAAGCTCACATAAAGTAACAACCACCTCTTTTTGCAATGTTGGTAAGATCGCAGGATCGATCACCTTGCTGCAAATTGACTTGAAGAAAAAACACAACTTAGTTATTGCGCTCCTTACTTTTCTGGCAGAATAGAACGTATACCTATTGGTAGAAAATGTTCCATTATAACATGGCAATCATGAGTCTTTAAACTCTTTAACTTTAGGTCTTTCATTGACACAAGTCTTCTAATATCTGATGAGTAGCCTTCTGGAACTTTAACTTCACTGAGGAACTTACACAATATTTTCTTCTCCTTTCTAGATAGAGTGTAAACAGCAGGTGGTAGATATGTGCGTCTTCCTTTCGTCACGGGTGCCAATTCAGTTCTAATTCCCATGTTTAACATGTCCTTCCTTATGTTAATGCCATCCTTAGACTTTCCTTGTATATTGAGTAACGTACCAATAACACTATCAAATACATTTTTTTCAATATGCATAACATCGAGGAAATGTCTTACGTACAACGACTTCCAATATGGAAGTTCAAAAAAAATCGACCTCTTCTTCCACCCACTCGTGACAAGTCTATGTGCAAAAGGCTTGCCAAACTCAGTACTCACATCTTTCACCTTTTCAAAAATCTGATCACCTGTCAACATATGTGGAGCTCTACCGTGTTCTGCCTCTCCATTGAATGCCTTTCTCCACCCACGATAGTGATGATTAGAATTTAAGAATCTACGATGACCGAGAAAAACATTCTTCTGACAAAAGTTCAATCGCATCGTATCGGTTTCATCTTCACAAACAGGACACGCTTTTTGACCCTTAATGCTGTACCCTGATAGATTTCCGTACGCCGGAAAATCATTAATTGTTCCAAACAACATCGCCCTCAAGTTGAAACTTTCTTTCCTATACCCATCGTAAACCTCCACACCGGTCTCCCACAAAAACTTCAAATCTTCGACTAAGGGTGCCAAGTACACGTCTATGTCATTCCCTGGTTGTTTGGGCCCAGAAATTAACATAGATAGCATCATGTACTTACGCTTCATACATAGCCACGGAGGTAGGTTATATATCATAAGAATCACAGGCCAGGTGCTATGCGAGATACTTTGAATACCATGCGGGTTCATTCCATCAGTAGACAACGACAAGCGAAGATTTCTTGCTTCTTTTCCAAATTCAGGATAATCAATATCAACTTTCGTCCACTGTGGTGAGTCTGCCGGATGTCGCAACTTCCCATCAATAATTCTTTCATCTGCATGCCAAGTCAAGTGTCTTGAATCGGTCTCACTACGATACATGCGCCTAAATCTCGGAATTATAGGAAAATACCATAACACCTTTTTCGGAGACAACTTTTCCTTATATCGAGGGGCACCGCATTTAGGACACTCATTTAACACTGCGTACTCGTTTCGAAATAAAACGCAATCTTTTGGACATGCATGTATCTTTTCATAGCTCATGCCAATAGAGGACAACATCTTTTTGGCCTCATACGTTCGATTGGGAAGAACATTATCCTCTGGTAGCATTTCTTTCACGAGGGCTAATAACTGTGTGAAACTTTTATCCGACCATCCGTTGTCCGCCTTTAAGTTGTACAACTTTAACACCGCAGACAATCTTGTGAATTTTGTACAACCATCATACAACGGTTTCTCTGCATCGCTTACCAACCTCTCGAACATTTTGGGACAATCCTCAAGATCTTCTTCAAGCGCTTCTGCAATCTCTTCGACTCGATCATAATCGTATGCGTCTGCGAAATCCTCATTTGAAGCATACGTCGTATTATAACTCGATTCAACATTCCCGCTACTTTTCTCACCATGCAAATTCCAACATGCATAACTTCTATCAATTCCATGCATCAGTAAATGCGATTCCAACTGAACCGCGTCAACCCGTCTCCCATAACAGCATCTCAAACAAGGACATATCATTCCATTGGGTTCTCTGGCATGCGCAACGACAAACTTAACGAATTCTGATACCCCATCCTCATACTCTTTCGACAATCGATTGGCAGTCATCCATTTTTTATCCATGGTTTGACTATAGCAACTAATTAGTCACGCAACTATAGCAAAATAATAATTAATTACCTGTAAAGAAATTCAACATATCAGGTAATCAAATTCATAGTTATTCTTGCCTCACCTTAAGCATGTGCTAAACAACTCATAACTAATTACTAACTAGTGAAGTCGGATATAAACAAAAACACAACCGCAGCTCATGAATTCCACTCAACTATAATCATTAGAAATTCACACTGAGCCGGAAAATAAAAGTAAAAACAATCAGTTATTCAAGTCAGTTCAAGAATAGGATAGAAACCTTTGAAAATGTTGAGAGCGTCCCGCGTACACTACGATCAAGGACAGTTCGAATTTGTTCAATCGGAGAAAGTTTCACAGCTTTTTCCTACCACAATCGATATTAAATCGTTGAACTATCCGCTGCATGATTTGAATGTAAACAACATGTTAAACTTAGGAGTAACTAAAAACAAAACATTTTCATTGACAATATAGATCACATTCCCTTATTTGTTTCCACCATACTAGTGAAGCAAATGACGAATGGCAGCAACGCAAGGTTCTTTCAGTCACCTTTTTGTCCAACTGTTGTATAAGAAAAGTATGTTAATTAATTGGAATGTAAGCTTACTAGATAGATTTCTGTACATGTTGAAGAAGTTACCTCTAGTTCGTTTGCAATTATATCAACATCTGCTGCATTTATCTTAACAGCAGCTAATTCTTTCTCCCTGTGATTCAATCAAAATTCATACTAAGGTTCAGAGAGAGAAGAAAAACAAATCATAAATGCAGGATAAATGAGAGTGACAATGGAGCTTTCAATTTTTATATACATAATAAATTCCCGGGTCTTTTTAATTTCACTTATGTAAAAATTAAAACTTCAGAACTACACATATATTTTACTTGATATTTCTATTAGTAATACAAAAATTATATTTCAACATATACACCAGAACAACAGAAAAGATACAAAAGTAGAGTGCAAAGGAAAGGAAAACATAGATATTAAACATCAAGCATAGCAAACAGCTAAATGCGTGCACTTTTGTTACACAAATGAATCATGAAATTATCTAAATAAGAACAGAGGCACCTCCTATGCTTTCAAACTGAGTGAATACTCCAGTTGAAGACTAGAACAGTTTTTGGTTATCTAGTGTGGCAAGGCAATGGAATGAGAGGGTACAAAAGAGGAGAAGTGATGACAAATCTTTAAACTAGGATTTAAGAAATTTTGTTTAAGGTTCCTATTACCTACACTAACTTGTCATGCACCAAATCTTTGAATTGGGATTTAAGAAATTTGGTTTAAGGTTCGTAGTACCTACACTAACTTGTCATGCATCAAAAACACTGGTAAATTTAAACCATGTTCGTTTCAGATCTTCTGCCAACCGTTTCCCTTTCATCAAAGAATCGCAGAATCGAAGGTTGGAAACAAACAATTAAAATTCCTCACCGGGCTGGGAATTTGTTCAAAGTTCAAATTTCAGTGAACTGGAAGGATCCAGAACCTAATGCTACATTAGAGTATTTGAATCAAGCCAAGAGCCTATATAGTTTTATGGAACCATATGTGTCAAAGAATCCTAGAAGTGCTTTTTTAAACTATAGAGACCTTGATATTGGGATTAATAGTTTTGGTGAGAATAGTTATCAAGAAGGAAAGGTTTATGGTGCTAAGTATTTTAACAATAATTTTGATAGGTTGGTTAAGATTAAGACTGCTGTTGATCCTGATAATTTCTTCAGGAATGAGCAGAGTATTCCTGTTCTAGCAGGAAAGGCTTAGATTTGAGAATCAATCAGTTGTAAAGCCTATTGGGCTTATTTGATGTTGTTCATTACTATTTAGTTCTCGCTATAAATGATTGGATTTGAAAATAAAAAATAGATAAGTGCTTTTAATCGTTTTTGTTGTTGTTCTGATCTCACATTTGGATGAGATGATGATATGAATTGGTCTCTTTAAATTTGATTCTGCAAATGCAAAAATATTAAAAAAAATTCTCAACTATCTAGATGAAACACAAGATCTTTTTGGAGGTGGAGATTAAGTATACTTCCTTGTTCCAGACTATTGATGACACACTGAGGACACTGTTAGCACTACCACTCAGAAGCTAATTTCTCTAACAGGGTTGCAACTAAGAGTTACATGAGATCTATTTTCTAGCCTCATAATCTTAAACCTAATAGAGTTCACTAACTCATTATAACATTAAACACATGCATATTGATTTACATATACAGTTGCGTATGTAAAGTAAACCAAGAATTAAAGCAAAGAAACAAATGAACCGAAAATTGAAGTGCAGCAGAATTACATAAGTAGAGCAGAAAAATACAAAGGTTCTTACAAATTTTTCTATAATGATTTCTAACACTTCGACAACTAACAACTCGACATATTAGGCTTTTCGACACATCATGTGTCGAGCAACAACCCACTTCGACACAACGAATTACTCTTTCAACAAAATAGATAATTAAGCAACAGAATTAAACAACTAAGACCGATAAAAACTAGACTTATCAAACTCACCCGTGCTCGAATAACTGCTTGTCCTCTATAAACTTTCTTAAATTGGAAGTATTGGAACAGATCAAATTTCTGAAGAATTTAGACACGTATGCAAGTATAACCTAGGTTTAAATTAAAGTCTTATAGGCTAATTTGTCAAACGTTCTAATAAAAACTAAATTTCCGCCATAGGCTTAATCATAAACCGCTTGTCCCTACCGTTTCTCTTTTATGAAAACAATCATGAAGGTAAGGTTTATGGTGCAACTGGAAAATTAAGTTTTTATATAGATTTTACACCATTTACCACTATATTAAAATTCTGGCAGTTACACCAACGGAATGACGAAATGAAGAAGGAAAATGCTAAGCTTGAACCATTCCTACACTATATTGATTCAGAATCTTACCAAGGTGGAAAAGACGGAATGACCGGCGGCGGCGACGACTGAAGAGGAAGGAACGAACGGCGGCGACGACGACTGAAGAGGAAGGAACGAACGGCGGCGACGGCAGAAATGAGGAAGCTTAAGACGAACGAAGAAATGAAGAAGATCTGAACGAAAGAAATGAAGAAGACTAAAGAACAGATTTAGGGATTTTTAATTTTATTATAAAAACAACCTACGAAAGCGCTTTTAAAAGCGCTTTCGTATGCCCCCCATATGAGAGCGCTTCTGAGGTAAAAAGCGCTTTCGTAGGTCCCCCTTTCAAAGCGCTTTTCAAAAGCGCTTTTATAGGGCCACCTATAAGAGCGCTTTTCAAAAGCGCTTTCGTAGGTTAGATATTTCAAATACCTATGAAAGCGCTTCCTGAAAAGCGCTTTCGTAGGGAACCCTATGCCAGCGCTTTTAAAAAAGCGCCTTCGTAGGTTTCCCTTTTTTTTAATTTTGTATTTTGTGAAGGCTATGGCAGCGCTTTTTCAATAAGCGCTTTAGTAGAGGCGCTGCAAAAAGCAGTTTTTGGCGTAGTGATTGATCGTTCCAAGAATCTTACACTGTGTGATTCCAGAAGTTGTTGACTTCTCTACAGGTAATTAGTTGTTCTTTTGTTATAGCTGCATGATTAATTATAGTGTTTTTGTTTAGCTTACTAGTAGTAAAACTATGGATGAAAAACGGACGTCTTCCAATCAATTTTCAAAAGAGTACAAGAATGGAGTATTGGAATTCGTTAAGTTTGATGTTGAACATGCCGAAGACTGCAGTCGAATGAAATGTCCTTGCTTGGATTGTTGTTATGGGGATCGGATTGACGCAGTTGGGTTACAATCACATTTACTGAGGAATGGAATTGATCGAAGTTATACATGTTGAATATTTCATGGTGAGAAAATTAACGGGAATGTTGAACCGGGGGATAGTACGACATATGCTTCAGACGACAATGGCACATATACATACGATTATGATCGAGTCAAAGAGATTGCAGAAGCACTTGAAGAAGATCTTCAGGATTATCCCAAAATGTTTGAGAGGTTGGTAAGCGATGCAGAGAAACCGTTGTATAAAGGTTTCACTAAATTCACAAGATTGACTACGGTATTAGTGTTGTACAACTTAAAGGCGGACAATGGATGGTTGGATAAAAGTTTCAGAGTTATTAGTCCTTATACTTCCGAAGGATAATGTTCTTCCTAATCGACCATATGAGGCCAAAAAAATGTTGTGCTCTATTGACATGAGCTATGATAAGATACATGCTTGTCCAAATGATTGCATTTTGTTTCGAAACGAATATGCATCATTAAATGAGTGCCCTAAATGCGGTTTATCTCGATATAAGAAAAAAAAATTTCCAGCAAAAGTCTTGTGGTATTTTCCTATAATTTCGAGATATAGACGCATGTTTCATAGTGAAACCGATGCAACACACTTGACTTGGCATGCATATGAAATAATTATTGATGGAAAGTTTCCACATCCGGCAGATTCACAACAGTAGTCAAAATTAAATATAAAAATACCAGAATAAAAAGGTTCAGACAATATAAAGTGTAATCGCACACAGAGGCGGAAAAAAATAAAATGAACATATCAAAATGATCTACGTGCAACATAGTTCTATAAAATAGTCCGATAAAGTTCGAAACCTGAAAAAATTTGTCTGTAGATTTCATACGCAATCGAGGAATGAATCAATCGCTTAGTTTATAAAACCCCAATTTATTTAAGTGTAACTGAACTATTTGCTTGAGATTTTAAAAAAATATGAACAAAATTAGGGTATGACAATGTAGAGAGTACAAGATGGTATGATAAGGGTATATATCTCGAAGGGCAGATAAAACCTGATAGATAACCGATCGAATGGGAGAATAGAAGAACGCGTATCAACATATTTGCTATTGTTTCTTGTATGAGTAAGCTCATCAATTAATAGGGTTCTTTCCTTCTCCTTATTCTAATTAATCCAATTAACTTTAATTAAAAATATACAATAAATGAAAATGTACTTTAAAAACATATTGTTTATAATATTTCATTCTTCATGATTGCAGCCCCCTATTTTAGTTGCTATATTTTTATTTGCTTTTTGAAACACATTTGAGTCCCACCAGACAAGTAGTTATTGAAATACATTATTCTCTCCAATGAGGACGAATCTTTTTTTTCCAACCAAATCTTGCACATCAAAGCATGTCAAAAATTTGTTTTGGTGCTCTAATACAAAAATTACACTCAATATTATATTCATCCCTTATGCTGTAAATACACTTCTCCAGCGATGTACCAAAAATTAGATATTTAAAACAAGAGAGTAAATAAAACAACAATTACTTAAATGAAAGGATTATTCCCAAAATGTCCTCAACCAAATCTTTCAAAAGATTGGCAATTTGAATATGAACTAGTAGTTTTGATTTCATTACAACACACTATTCTCGTTTATACGGAAGAATTTAAGGATAAGGAGTTTAATAAACAAATTTAAGCATAAGGAGTTTAATAAACTTTTTATAATATGCGCACTATTATAAAAGGGTCATACTCTTTATATTTTCGACTCATTCAAATCTCAACAATGTTATATTTTTTATTTATTTTTACGCCTCTAACATATGGATCATATCAATCACTGTCAAGATGCTAAAATTATAAACTAGAGAAAGACAAATAAACTAGCTAATAAAAAGATAAACTTCATTTCATTTTCATATCTTTTTCATTCTCTCTATAAGAGTACATATACAGTGATGATAGTAGTGGATAATGAACTAAAGGCCCAAAAACTAAAACACTAACTAAACAATATCTGAGGTAAAAGTCCAACTAAGATAATTCTCTTTCTAACTTTAATAATTAAGTAGTTTAAAAATTAATTCCACATCCTAACATTACTCACCCCTTCAAGAACAACCTTGTCCTCAAGGTTGGAAAATAGTTGTTGAGAAATATTGACAGTACCATACACAACCCTCCCTCATCTTAAACAGCATGTCCATGTTATAGGATTGTTGAATTTCTCACTTTGTAGTTCATTTCAATAATTTCAAGTTCATGCTCAGCGTGTGGCATCCCTCTTTTACTCAATTCTTCCATGATGTCAACATGATTTTCCTCAACACTATCAAAATTCTTCTGCTGTGCCTCAATACTAAAACAATTATGAGAAATTGGAAAAGTATTGAAAGTAACATGATCAATGACCACAATATTTCTTGCACGTTTATCCAATCCAATCCTAGATCTTATGCAAGAAAATTGCATTGGTTCTAAGATAACATTAGTAGGCATAAATAATAGTAGAGCAAGCAACACAACTCCATGATCATGTAACATAATCTGATTTGTGGTGGTGAGAAACTCGTCAGGTGCTATGAAAGAATAAAGTGCATAAAAAAAACTCCCCAAGCTATATCAAGCAGGCACAGTAATGGTACTGACCAATATGTCAATACTATACAACTTATGTAATTATAATTTTTATCTTTTATTTATATATGTTTTATGTATAAAGTACTCAAATATGTCATTATTTTAAAAGGAAAGAGTATATTGCTAAGCAGCATTCAACCACTAGTTTATGTTGGGACTTGAGGAAGTACTGACTAAGTTACATTCATATATTGCCTAAAAAACAATTGTATTTACATAAGAGCAGGTTGACAACACTTCTTTATAGAAAAAATCATAAACATTAAAGATGTCTTTTCACTTATAAAATATTCAATATATATTTTTCTATACGAAAATTTAATCCATACTTAACCATCATAACAAGTATAGCGACAACAAGATAAAAAAGAACAAATCTAAAAGAATAATAATATATTTTTAAAATTTAACATAACGCTTGCATATACAAAATATTTTACAGAATTTATTGAAATAAATCAAAATGGCATGACTATTTTGTCATAATTAATACGAAATGTTTTTTATTGAGATAATAACAATACTCATACATGCAAATGTAACTTTGAAATTTTAGATGAACACCGAACACTGTTTGGTAAACAAATTTGAAATACACCTAGTTGTATACCTTTTCTGGAACAATTCTTAGCTTCTGAGACTTCTCTAATGATAGTCCAAACTTGTCATCCATGTTCATATCTTCTACTTTTGTTCCATCTTCTAGTTTCCAGTTAAAACAATTGATAAATGAACCCAACATCAAAGGTAACATCTTTGTAGCTAACGATATACCAGGACAAATTCTTCTTCCAGAACCAAATGGTAAAAGCTCGAAATTGTGACCTATAGCATCAATTTTAGAGTCTAAGAATCTCTCTGGTGAAAACAAGTTTGGATTTTCCCAAACACTTGAATATCTACCAATAGCCCACACATTGACCCAAATTTGTGCATCTTTTGGAATTGTGTAGCCACCAATTTCCACATTTGCATCAGCTTTTCGAGGGACTAAAAATGGAACAGCAGGGTGTAATCTAAAAGTCTCTTTTATTATTGCTTGTAAATAAGGAAGCTTAGCAATATCTGAATCTTCAACTGGTTTTCCTTTGCCAATGATTTGTTCCAACTCTTGTTTTGCCTTTGACATAACCTTTTCATTTTTAATCAATTCTGACATTGCCCATTCTAGAGTAGATGAGACTGTATCCGTACCAGCAATAAATAAAGTCTGATAAAACAACAACATTCAATTAGTGCTTTATTAATTACATAGTTTGGATATTTGTATTTGTTTTACTTTATTAGTGCTTGAAAATATTAAAATAAATATAACTGTGACATGTATGACAATTGTACTATAAATTCAGCTAGAAATTAAGGGACAGGAAAGTACCAGAGCTAAATGTGGGATTTTGGCCTTGTTCATCTCTTGGCTGTTATCTTCATCAATGTTGAGCAAGTTACTTAGCATGTCACTTTTTGTGTCAAGACCTTGTACTTCCCTCAGCTTCACTCTTTCATCAATTAAACGCTGGCAGATATCAAAGACTTTTCGAGCATAAACAGCGTTGCGTCGTTTAATACCCTGTAGATCAAAGTCAAACACGTTTAAAGCAGGAAAAAGATCAGTAACGTTTCGTTTTCCACACTCTTTCAATATATTCAAAATTAGCTCCTTGAAATCTCCAACTGAATCACCAGGTTGAACCAAATCTAGAGAGAAAATCATGTTTGACAACAAATTAATGGATGTCTTGAAAACCATATCTTCAATACAAACAGCTTCATTAATAAGACTATTTTGATTAATATCGTTGAGACAATCTTTCACTTTCTGAAGCCTGATTCCCTTACTCTCTTCAATTGTTTTGTTAGAGAACAATTCATTATTGCATATTTTTCTTAACTCTCTCCAAAGAGTTTCAATTGGTAAGAACGCCATGTTGTATTTGTGGTGGTCATGAACTTTTACAGCACCGGGAATGGTTCTGTTGGATAAGATATGATCATGAGTTTGGAGTATTTCTTTGGCCATGTTGGGTGAAGAGACAACAATGGTTGTAACTTGGCCCAACTTAAGACTCATGAGTGGACCATGAATTTCAGCTAATTTGGCTAAGGATTTGTGTGGCTTTTTTCCTAATTGATGGAGGTTGCCTATAAAAGGAAGAGGAGTAGGTCCTGGTGGAAGTTTGATGGTGTTTTTTGTGCATTTAGAAAGTAGAAAATAAAGAGTGAATGGTAATAGAAGTAAGAGGAACATACAGCTTAGAAAAAACTCCATCTATGAAACAAATAGAAGTATGGTGTTGTGGCTATTCAGATCGATTATTAGAATTATATATACAACATGAAGGGATGTAGGAGTCAAATATGGTAGGAATTGATTATTGCACAATAGCCTTCAATAATGCTGTAGCAAAATATTTATTATTTTTTTATTTCATCATCATTAGTCTCTAGAATCTGAAAGAGGCGGAGCTTTCAATATGTTTTTTTTTTTTTTTTTAATTTATTTATGTTTTAGACCTTTCGATTGTTAAACTTTTCTTGGTTTAATTTCGGTTTTTAAGATTTGAAATAAATGCTGATGAATGAGATGATCACTACTTGAAATACTCGAAATTCCTGCGGATTTACCTACAGAAATATATCCGCAGGAATACCTACAAATTTTTCTGTGACTTTATTAAATAAAATAAATTTCTCTGCAGAATATAATTCAGTAGAAAATTCGCAGGTATACTTAGGATTTTGTTAAAACACCATTATACTATACAAAATCCGCAGGTAATCCCGAAGGAAAATTTCCTGCGGATTTTGCTTCTAATTATAGTTTTTTCTTAATATTTAATTTTTAATTAAATAAAAGATATATAAATTTTGATATATATTTATACAATTCTTCAATGTCTATTTTATTTTAAAAATAAAATGTATTTTTTTAAAATTTTTAACAAATTTAAATGTACCCGATTCTTATTTAGTGGAAGTTTTTTTTTCCATTAAAGCACAAGTATTTGGTTTTGATATATTCAAATTACACCATCTTTAACCATTAAGACACACTATCTTTATATTTTAAAGATAAATTATATATATATATTAATTTCACAAGTTTAATAAAGATGTATTAATAGTGTAAAATTAATTTATATTAATATATAATTTTTTTTAATTACATTAACTACATAATTATATATTTTTTATATCTATAAAATTAAACAGAAATTTTTAATCCTTATTTTTTTTATTTAATTCAATACGTTTATAGTGTTTTTTAATTAATTTTTAATTTTAATTTCAATCTTAATTTTTTTATAAAATAAAAGGTATGAAAAATTCATACATATGTATATATATTATATAATGTCAAAATTAATTTTTTAATTATTAAAAAACAAATTGAGATAAAATTATTTAAGTCTATTTTATTAATAAAAAATAGACTTAAATTCATACTTTCTCCCTTCTAAATTCTTACACGACAACAACAATTACGACGCAGATTCTCTTGTTGGATTTGGATTTCAGAATTGATTCGAATTGTTATCGACTCAGGATTCGATTCACGTATGGGTTCAGAATCTGTTTGCACTCGAAATTTCAACTCAGAGTAGGTTAGTTTTGTTTAGTGATTCTTTGCATTTTTACGGTTTTGACTCCATTACGGGGTTATGCTATAACTGATTGTGATTCGATTTCAATATTAATTTCAGTTTGAATTAAAGTTACAACAAGCATACAATATCATAAAGCTGAGAATGGAGGAATGCTTACTGGTTGAAGCGACGAGGAGAAGAAAATGCAGCTTCGATCTTGCTCACAAGGTATTCGATAAAATGCCTCACCCAAGTTTTTCTTCTTTGTGCTTCTATTTTACTTTTGATTTGTTGTTGTTGTGTTTCTTAGTAGCTATTAATGATTATGCTCGGGTTGGTTTGTGAATTAGCAGAGAATTATCGCCATTATTACTGTTTTGTGCTTTGCCCACCACATGCTCGATGAAAACTGATTTGATTTTCTTATGTATACAATGAGTATGAATGCTGTGGCCCCCTATATATGTGCACAAATGGACTTTATTGTAAAACACAACACTTTTTACGGTTCTCTTCTCTCAACCAAAATGTTTCACCGTTCTCAACAAAACCTTAGATCTGAAACTCACTCGCTTTGATTTCACATTTCTCATATAACGCTTTCGAATTTCACTTCCCCGTGCTTCTATAATTTAGGAACTGCCTCGTAATTTTTGATCTAATCATATGGTGTGTACTGTTATCATCTTAATGCACATGTTTCTTTTTGATTATTTGTGAAAAATGGACTTTATTGTGAAACACAACACTATTTACGGTTGCAATTGCATGGTTATTTGCACAACTTCTAACTACTTGTTCTTATGTCAATATGTTCCAGGATTTTGGTTATGTGCAAACAACATCTATTGAGATTTTGAAGTCATGCGTTTCAATGAGCCAATTGTGATTGAGACAAGTTAAATTTAGGTTGTTGAATTCAGGTTGCCAAGGTTATTCAGACAAAGACTGCCAAGGTAAATGGGATTATATTTTGAGATCTATTGCTTCTTATTCAATTAAAATATTATCCCTATTCTATTTCCTATTTTCCCTCTTTAGTTATTGTGTTCTCTAATACTTAGGTTTGTATCATATAATGTCTCAAAAAAGTCATCCCCGCCGTTGTGGTCTTCCGAATAACCGCCATGTCGTCAAGCCTGGAACGTCCGTCGTGCACTGCTTATACTTCTCTTTCTTTTATATTCAGTTCGTGTTAACATCCTCTTGCCTACTTCTCTTTCTTTTATGGACTGAGGAAGAGGTTTGTTGCTTTAATTTGAAATCAATAGTAATACATAAACCCTTTCAATGTCATTTCTTAACTTTTAATCATGTATTTTTGTTGTAATGTGACAAACAGGATAACCTTTTGATAAAGACAGTGAAGAAGCATGATGAAAGCAACTGGAAAAATAGGTGGATGTGGTAGTATATCAAAATAATTATCAATTTCAATTGAACTATTTGTTCATGTTTAATTTTTGTTATGGCTTATCAACAATTTACCACTGTCTACTTCTGTGTCTATGCGATTTTTTGAAGGGCCTGTAGTTGAAAATACTGTGATTTTGAATTATAAGTCTTCACCAATGGCAGACGGAAAATGGTATTTCTCAAGTTTGACAGTCTGAAATCACATTGCATGTGAACTCTAATATTCACATACTTTATTATTTCATTAATTCATGACAGCTTTAATGTATGCAATAAGCCCACCAATGTCAGGTAAGTGTTATGTACTTAATTTTTGTTTCATTATAATCCCTGCTACATCTTTCAACTTGTCAGTTGGATTATCATGAAAAATTAGTAATGCGAAGTCTCATGCATATGATAAGTTCATGAAAAATTAGCATTGCAAGTTACTGTATTATCATCCAACGAACAACTAGGTACTCTTTGATCTATAATCACTCTTTGATCTATAATCACACTTTCAATAGTTGGTTTTTACTAGTAACTATTGATTTGAATAATGGTTTTTGACTTGCTAGTGGAAATTCACTGTTATGTATTCTGTTAATGATGCTCACCAATCCATATACTTCAAATTTTTAATTTATTTTTAAGTTTTGGTTTTAATTGTTGCTGATATATATCCATTTCATTACTGGTCCGTGATTTATATCAGATGCGGTGAATTAATTACTCCTTTTTCTTGTCTTTATTCCTCTGTTTTTGATTCCTTTTTCAGGAAAAAAGTTTTGTTTTTTCTTCTCTCTTATTTTGGTTTTGTTTACTTGTGATTCCTTAACTGGAGCTGGATTCTCTAAAATGGGTTGTTGACAGAAACTTTTTAACCATTTGGAATCTTATTGAAAACATAAATCTTGTCATATCATTCCTGCATATGGAATAAAATTATTAAATGAACAGATCTCTTTACTAAGATTTTAACTATTGACCTTCTCGGAAGATGTGACCTTTTTTTCCCTCAAATCCAAAAATACAAACCAAAGTGGATTTATTACCTTTTTTCCCCTCAAATCCAAAAATACAAACCAGTGGATTTATTACCTTTTTTCCCCCTCAAATCCAAAAATACAAACCAAAGTGGATTTATGAATCAATCTTATGGGTAAAGTTCAAGTTTACAAAGATCTCATCTTTTCATTTCTAACGTAGGCCCAATACTACGTAATCTACTTACTCAGCATATGACTTCATACTCATTTCATTCATTTTTATCACTCATATTTCAATAATACACAAATTAACCATCATTATATAATTAGTTTAATCATGACTAATTATTACATGAATATATAAATATTTCAATAATTACCATAGTACTTGTGTGTTTCACGTTACAAATAAATGATATTGATGAATTACTATTATTACAGATAGAGATAACATGCAAAGGACAACAACTTTTACCTTCCTTGACGTTGCAACACGACATATCACGTAATGGTGCTTTACTACTCTAGAAGAACTTCTTAAGAAAAACACTTCTCAAGTAACTTATATTCTGCCTCATTGTATTCATCCTAGTTAACTTATTATCTAAACTCTTTTTTCTTATCTTTCAAATTTTCTATTTTGATAAGTTTTGATTTTTATTCATTTTTATTTTGTTTTTTCTGCAATTATTTGGCGGCCATCCTCGGCATGGAGATAGTGATTCTGTCAAAAGAATCATTTGTGTTATTTTATAATCTCAGATGAGTTACTTTAGGCCTTGGAGACTAAAATATCTTTTCTTTTTGTTGGGTTTGAATATTGGTAATAAGGAACTTTGAGTATTAGTTATGAATATGTCTTTAATGTTATGCATTCATCTGTTTTTTTACCTAAGTTATAAATTGTCACAATTTATCAATTAAATTTAGTTTTTCTTTTTAATTTCGAAATATATTAGCTGCGGAATTACTTGGGGATTTTGATTCCTGCGGATTTACATGCAAATAAAATTTCCTACGGGTTTACTGCAGATTTTAGTTCCTGCGGATTTATAATTACTCACAAAGGTTTTAACTGGGGATAGAAAACAAAAGAAAAAACCGCAAGAAATATGAGTATTTCTAGTAGTGGATGAAGATGATAAGTAGAAGAATGAAAAAAAATGAAGTTATATAAAAAATATGAAATAAATTTTTGGTTATTCCTTGTAAATTTAGGGGTAGTTTATCTCTTATGAGTCCATCAAAATTTGTCATATAAAGTAAAATTTTAATATCACATATTAATCTAAAACCTTAAAAAATCAAAATGAAACCAATAAAATAATATATAACTTGATATTTGAGTAGTAAGATGTAGGAACTTTTTTTCAAATAATCAAAATGTTCAATTTTAATATCCAACTAACCAATCTTTTCCCATTATTTTCAATCTAACCATGTTTCAAACAAAAAAAAATAGATTAAAGAGAAGGCGCCTCCTATATTTTTTTTTTTAACTTTTCCCAATTATATGTAGGTTTACCTGTGAAAATGTTATTACCTGCGGATTTACTTGTGAATTTATCTGCGCGTATGTTTTTGTCGGTAAATCCGCAGAAATATCCGTAGGAAAATTCGAAGATAACACCAAATTTACAGATAAATTCGCAGATAACTGAAAAAAAAACAAAAGAAATATAAAAGACGTTAACTCAAGTGCGCCTCTTCTTTAATCTATTTTTTTTGTTTGAAACATGATTAGATTAAAAATTATAGAAAAATGTTGGTTAGTTAAATATTAAAATAAAATTTTTTGGTTATTTGAAAAAAATTTCAAAGAATAGAGTCACCTCTACTTATTTAATTTGTGTTCTAATCCCAACTTTACCATTTGATTAAATTTAAATTCTTATACCTCTCGCAGTAATTATTCAGCCCACTTGATAAATAATTTAGACTGACTCAAAATATTAGAGTACTCTGAATAATTTATACGCATAAATTAATATTTAAAAAAATTTAATTTTATAAGAAAAATGAGAGGGAAAGAAAATTAAATGTAATTTAAAATGCTTAAGCAAAAAAAGCAAGGCGAATGAGTGAGTCTAGTTTGTATTGTTATGTTTTCTTTATTATTTTCATTAAACGATATGTGTGTATGATCACTTTCTTTGTATGAAGGATTAATTGTTATATACAAATGAAATATAACATGTTTTGAACTATTCATTTCTCTGTGATTATGTAATGTAACAATGAGTCTAGGGTACAACCGAAGAGATCGAGATCTCAACACAAAGATTCGAGGATGTTGTCGCAAATGTCGTATACATACAACTACAAGAATAAATGCACTACAACACAAAGCTTACACACAATGAAACTCAAGGGTGATGTGACAAATGCCACGTGCAACTTCATCAATTAATTTCCCAAAAATTAAAGCACAACTGCACAAACAAAGATAGTTAGAGGTATTGTCGCAAACACCACACGTGTATGACTTTATCAATCAATTTTTCATAGGAAATAACGGTCCGTCCCATCAGGAAGCTAACTATTTTAGAGGCTATAGTGGGTTGGCCACACGTTGACCTCAAACCGGGTTTTCACCTGGGCAGAGGAAGGGAAGCCGACCTTTGGTCGAGAACAATTCCAGAGACGTCCAATAAACTTCATGCTACAAAATCAATTATAACCAATACTGATTGACTATTATGGATTACTCTAACATGCGATAAGTGCATCTAGTTGAACAGATGGTCCACCTACATGCAACTGCAAGGTATTCAAAGCGAGTGTGGGAAACTGAGAAGTTCTTTGGACAATTTTAATTTCACATGGTTTGGATGTGGACTAAGAGGAGTAGATAGAGGACATTTTCGTGTGGTGCCAGTGGCCGAAATGGCCTATCTTTGAGTGGAAGAAAGAGTGACTTTCGACGGTGCCATTGCTTGATGATTCTCAATGCAGTGAGATGAATTCAGTTGTAAATTTAATGAGATTGACTTAAGAATATATAGATATCCGCTTTGATTGGAGAAGTTATTGATCCAAGATCTAGAGATCATGGTTATTGATCTATAGATATCCGCTTTGATTGGAGGAGTTTGTTGGTAACTAAAATGCAAAAGGAAAGCGTAGAATGCAAATGGCGGTGGGATGAAAGTGGCGGTGTATAGTGGATTTAATTTCCAAACGAGGAATTGTAAAATGACTGAAGACGGTTCCTTTGATCTCTTTAATGCTTTGCATTCTTTGTATATTAGGCCTCGCGTTTTACTCGGCGTTGGTGAGTGTGTGTTTTTTTTAATAAATGTTATTAAAAGAAATATCTGAATGTTTATATTATTTGAAATTTTATATAAATAATTATCAACATATAATATATGACTTATAGTTTATTATAAATTTATTTTTATATCTGAGCTGATTATTTCGAAAGGTTAATTGATCTATTAATTTATATAAAAAATTTATATCATTTCAATATATGTATATTTGTAATTTATCTTATATTTAAATCGACTAAAAATTAAAAGAATAATAAAATTAAATATTTTTTTTGCATTGATTTATCTGAGTTCACTTAATTTTGTGAGACTATATTTTTTTTGGAAAAATTTAAGAAAATAATTTATGGTATTATATAAAGCTTTTTTCAAATTATTTTCATAAATTTTCAAAAGAACAATGAAATTAACTTTTTTTTAAGATAGTTAGGTTTTAGTTTTTTATTTTGATATAAAGTTTAAAATATAATATAATAATAATAAATTTATTTATATTTATTAAAATAGATCGATCACATTATTTTTAAAACTTTTTTTATGATTTATGATCTAATCTTTTTAATTAAATAAATTAATAAAAAATATATGTCTTTATTTTTTTTTAAAATCTTGCTGACATTGATAAATATAGACTAAGTCATAAACCTTTATTATTTGGTCGGCTATATTCTCACATTTAGCCATTAGAATAATTTAATTCATTTTTTACATTCGAATAGAATAAGTGTGTTAAATTTGTATTCTATAAA